CCTTAGTATCTGCCTCTTGAATAATGTAGTCTGATCTGCAGTTGCATTGTAGACATGGCTTTGCCACTTGTTGATAAGGTTTTATTTGATGAAATATTCCCTTTAGTATTTTCCCTTCATTTTTTTAGGATATTAAATTGAAAGCACTCTTATAAATGAAAAAAAAAATAAAACTAACAGAGAAGAAATATGATAATATATATATATATATATATATATATATATATATATATTATTAATTATATTAAAAAATCTTATTTTTTAAATATTATTTTGTCTAATTATACTTGATAATTAATAATAATATTTATATTCCAACTATTTTTAAGAAAGACGAGAGTCATAACGGCAGGGAAAGAGAGATGAGATAAGGAAAACAAAATTATATCAAAATAATATAAAAAACATATTTTCAACCTTATTATTTTATTTTATATTTAAAAAAATTGAATTAATTTTTAACAGCTACTAAACATAAATGCTGCTTCTTCGTCATAATTAACCAAATAACACTTTGAATAATTAAGATCAAACTTCTAACGAATTTATTTTTCAATAAAAAATATATATTTTTCAGCACAAATTTAAAAATAAATTAAATGTTATAGATATAAATTAATAAGAATGACCCCTGTGTAAAAATAAAATAAATAATAATATAAATAAATAAAATTAAAATAAAGATAATGAAGAATATAATTATATAAAAAAAGAGTATATAATTGAAAATAAGTTAAGTAATATAAACACAAATAAAAAGTCTAGTTACATAATCATCCATCCAAGCTGGTCATTTTCCTATACAAGGAAATAATTGATCTTCGTTATCATGTTTTGTGGAATAAGTTTTAGTGATTGTTGAAGCAGTCAATTCTAATGTAGAAGAGACTAATATGTGTTCTTCCTCATCATTTTGATCTAGTAATACTTGGGTAGACTACTACATATTTCAATCCCAAGTTTTTTTTTCCATCAAGAACAACATCCCTAATAGTGACAATTTTTTCTGTATAAGGATTAAACAATTTATATGCTTTAGACATTTCACTTTCCCTAAAAAATACACATTTTTCAAATTTATCATCAAGTTTCTTTCTTTTTTTATCCTAAACATGGACAAAGGTAATGCATCCAAAAATTCTGAAGTGCTCCATGTCTCGTAATGTCCCACTCCATGCTTCTTCTAATGTCATATTTTGAATAGTAAAAGTTGGACTTCTATTCAAAATATGAACACTTCAATTTAATGCTTAACGGCAAAATTTCTTTTGGAATTTTCCCATGAGTACTTAATAAGCTCCTCACCATATTCAAAATAGTTTTATTCTTCCTTCCAAATACATTGTTTGTTGTGGTGTGAACCCTTTTCGTATATCATGCTTTGCAAAAAAATGTCCAAAATTTGTTGGACAATACTCATCACCACGATTAATGTGAAGGGTTTGAATGTGTTTTCCAAACTCATTTTTAATTTGAGCTTTAAAAATCTTGATGAAAATAAAACTTTAGATTTGACTTGTAAAAACTAGACCAAAGTTTTCCTTAAAAACTATTAGTGAATGTAATGAAATAACTTTACTTCAATTACAAGATGGATTTATTGAACTGCAAATATCTATCTGTACCAATTTTAACACATTCTTTGTTCTTCATGACTTGTTATTAGAAAATTGAGAACGACATTATTTTCTAAGGACACAATCCTCACACACTTGATAAGGATCTTGAATTTGAAGGAATTACATAATCATGTTCTTCTAATTGAGAAGTTTTAATCCTTCAAAACTCAAATGATCATAACGAATATATGTCACAAACATGATGAATATTTGATTTCAGCTACCGAGTTAGACTTAACAATGGAAATAACTTGTTGAAACTCATATGTACAACAACAACAACAACAACAACACCTTTAATGGAATATATTTCACAAGTACCTTTTATTAGTAATATTATAACTTCTTTCTTATAATTGATCAATAATAAACAAGTTACTTTACACATCGGAGACATATATTACATTATATACTGTTTCCACAAAATCAGTCTTGATTTTAATTTTAATATCATCTTTACCTCTCATTTTTATAAAAGAGAAATCTCCAACATTAATAGTAAAATGAAAATCTCATTTAAATAAGAAAAAGAAGACTTGCAATCATTCATGTGATTACTCCATCATATATCAACATACCAAATTTTGGAGTACATTTTGTTTTCATAGATATATAGTCATTAAAAAAGTTTTTTCTTCTTTTCACTTTTTTCATAAAATGTAAGTTTTCCCATTTTGTTCTAAAATTGATATTTATTACCTTTGAAATCTCTTCTTTCTTCCTTACATCCTTCATCTCCATTAAAAATATATATTTATTTTGATTTTTTTTAAATAATACTAACTTGTTTTTTTTTTTTCTTTCATATATCTTTTACTTATTTCTTTCATATCTTTAGAAGTAACTTTAGAAGTAAATTATTAGTATCCTTTAAATAATTAATTTACGAAACGTTGTTGGTATTGACCCTGAGGATAGACATGAATACCCAGATAGCATGAATAGAGCAGTTATTATTGACACACCATTATGAAAAAGGAAAAGAAAAGGTTATTGACACACCATTGTCAACCAGTAAAAGAGAAGAGCTTATGGACACACACCATGTTCACCTGCCATATGCAATCTCTACTCATCATGTATAGAGTACATCCTTCCACTCTATAATAAGAATAAATATAAAAATTTACAATTATATTAATATATAGAATCGTTGGATGATTGTGTTTGTAGGAGGAATTGTCCAAACATCCTTTTCCATATTTTATTATGGTACAAGAGTTTCGCTGGCAAAGAATTTAACAATAAAAAAAAGGTTATATTATATGTTGTTGAAGAAAAACTTATACCATTGTCAGTGCCTATAAATTGGTGCATGCAACAAGTAATTAACAGACCAAAATTCAAAACAAAATCAAATCACAAGAATGGCTTTTGTTAGGCTCGCTCCTTTCGCTCTCTTCTTCCTTGCTACTTCCTGTATGTACTTTTTCATTCATTTTCTTTTTCATCATTTCTAATTACATATCTCAGAACTATGAAAAAAAAAATTAACATATTCATGGGGTTTTGTTATAAATTTTTTATATCGCATTTCAGTGTTATCAATGAAGAGAATAGAAGCAGGTTGTTTGGATTTTTGTTTAACGATTGACACGCAACCATGTGGCTCGAGCGTATGTAGCTGTGTTCCTGTTGCAGTAATTGCTGGTATCTGCTTACCTGATATAGCAGTTGAGTCCATTGCGAAGAGGCTTGATGAATATCCCCAGCTATGTGTGTCTCATCATGATTGTGTGAAGAAAGGCAGTGGCAACTTCTGTACTCGTTCTCTTTATCCAAATGTGCCTTTTGGCTGGTGCTCTCACTCCAACACTGAACCACTGAAAGGTTTCTTGGCTATGCCTGAAGCAATTGACAAGTGAAATGGGTATGCCCATCACTCATAAGTCATCATGCATCTTCTACGTTAAATAAAAGCCTATGATCCATGCATCTACTATCCATCCACTACATTAAATAAAACACTTCTCTCACGTGTGTTTTCATTCCAACTCATTTGTTTATATTATGGACCTTGCTTTTATTATCAAGAGAAACGATTTGAAGAGAAGGCTTCAGAAGAATTAAAGAGATGATTGTTTGATTCTTGTCATATTTCAAAAGTTTAACACAGTTAAAAGGGATTTTATAGCCCATGAATTTTACTTGTAACTCAACATGAAAATAACACTTTTTTTTTCTCCGCGTCAGTTATTGCTACTTGATGACATTAAAAAAAAAATTAACAAGTTAATAATTCTAATAAAAAAATACAAATTAATAAATTAATACAGTATAATTAAGAAAATATAATTATAAAAACGTATTCTTTTTCAAACATTATTTTTTTCTAAAAATAATAAATAACATTAAGTTGGGTGATGATAAGAATACGAAAGAACTACAAAATACACTCAACCAAAACAAAAAAAAATTAAAATTAAATTATCAATATAATAAAGAAAATTAAATTCAAGTAAAATAATAAAAATTAAACAACTGGAATTTATAAAAATAAAACTAAATGTTTTTCATTAAATTTGAAACTTTTTGGAATAAATTGCAAAAACAAAATAATTCAACAATTAAATTTAAAATTACCTAAGATAAACCTAACTTTAAATTGTAAATTGGAACGAAAAACAGTAAAATAAAATTCGAATCGGAAAATTGATAAATTAAAATAGAAAATGGGGTAAATTGAATATTAGAATAAAATAAAAATTCCAATGACATAAATTAAATTGAGTACAAAATGAATAAAACAAATTTAATAATATAAAACAAAAATTTAAGAGAGATTGTTAATTAAATAACAAAAAAGAACAAACCAAAAAAAAAGTTACAATAGATAGAAGTAAGCTCAACGAACTAAAGACTACACTAAAAATAAACTAGGAATAAAAACACAATTGAAGAAAATGGGGACAAGAAAAAGTAGCAATTCTCACTCTAGAGAAGAAGATTTGTGTTTGTCTACTCTCATCAAGCTTTCATTTATATGGAACTGATCAAGAAAATATAAGCTTAAAATTAATTATAATAAAATCAAATATTTTCTTAATTAAAAATTGTAACACTTAATTATTACACAGCGATAAATTTCTGGGATTGATTAGAGCAATTTAGATTCTTTCTTGATTTGAGTTGATCTAACGCTTATTTGTATTTAATTATTGATTTCTACAACCTTTAATATAGGTCATTTAGATTCCCTCATTAGTTAATTTGATTGTTTCAAAATTTCTATTTGTAATGTTCCACAAGTGCCTTCCACAAGTAAACTTGGACTTCCAATAAGAGTGAGGTTTGGTTAGACATGATGTTTGTTATGAATTTGAGTATTTATTTATATCAATTTGACCCATCTCACATTATCTATCTCTTATAAATAAATAAAAAAAGAAATATCAACTATGTATGCTTTGATGGTAAAACTATGCAAGAAGTAATAAATAAATAAAAGTTGAATTATACTATGCTTTTTCACATGTTAAATGCATGGTTTATGAAGAAAATAATTAGCTTAAAAAATAATCTTAGGTCAAGAAATAAAGAGTAAAATGACTTATATCAAATACTTATCACTTCTTCTCTTTTGCACTTCACATCTCACTCTTTTACAAGAAAAAAAGAATAAAAATATGCACGCATGTAATGCAAAGATGAGTACTAATACAAACATTAGTCACATCTTGAAAACTATAATAATAAAAAAAAAACTTCATCAATCAAAGGTGAGAAAATAAAAAAGATCAAGATCATAACTTACAAAATATCATCACTATCAAGTATGAATCAATTCAAGGGAATGTCCTCTCATGATCAAGTGTTTATTCTACTCTCAAGAGTTTAAGTTGAACATTCCACTCATCATCATATAATGACATCGTCCTTTATAATAGGTTTGAAAGATCTCTAAATTCCCACAATTAGAACACATGCCACAATATATCAACAAGACTTTTTATTGTCTTGTGATGGGGCTAGGGTTAAGGGTAGGTTAAGAAAGGATAGTGGGCTAAACCCTTAGGAAAAATAAAGAACATGAATCATTGTACCTTGAAGTTTTGTTTCAGTTGCATCTTTTGTTTTTGTCATCTTTGTATTTGAGTACCTTCTGAGCTCATTTATTACTTGGGCACATGAACAAATTAATTTTTCTTTTTTTTTTCTTTTTTTTTTCTCATACTTTGACACTTTTCCTTTTCTGAAATTATTGGTGGCAAGTATAACTGAATTTTTGTAATGATTTCACACTTCTTACTTTCTTTTACGTCTGAGTGTGAGTATTTTCTGGGTTGAAAAGATTTTAATTCTCGGATTTAAATGCAAGAAAAGACTAAGACTCAAAGGTGAGTTCAAAGGGTAATTTAATGTGAGGGTAAACTATTTGACTAAGTTGTTAAGATAAAGAAGACCTAAATAATTTCTTCTAGTGTATGTGCTCTACCGGTGTCTCATATAAATTAATCAAATTCTGAAAGGTTCCTGTGTCATGAGTAGTGCATATAAGAAGGAACAAGACTCAAAACTCGTCTAGGTATTTTGCTCACCCTGAATTAATCCAAATTAATGTTAATGTAATCCGATCATGACTTCCTATATGAATCAAATATTTTAAACTTCAAATTCTTCCTCTTGATCAACTCGATTATTTTTTTTAAGTAATTCTTGGTCAATCTACAATATTATATAACAGTTAAAATAAAATATGAATGAAACCTCATGCATGAAATACAAATATTCTCCTATTTTGAAATCAACATTACCCTAAATGTTATCATACGCGTAGGAATGATAATTAAACCCGTACCCGTGGGGACCGACCCGTCCCTGCCCTGAGTTTAACAGGGGAAAATCGAGTTGACCGGGGGCGGGAGCAAATTCAGATTTTTCCCGCTTTAAAAAGTTGGGAATGGGGGCGGGGATGGGTATGCAATCCCCATCTCGACCCCGTACGTCCCCGTCCCTACTCCGACTTTATATTTAAATTTAAATTTTAAAATATTAATATTTTAATAGTTTTTTTTTCTATTACATATAATGTCATTTTTTTATATTTTACCATTTTTACTTCTTTTTTTCTACCCACTTTTTAATTTTTTATCTTTTATATTAATTAGTTTATTACATCTCTTTCTATTGTCTTTCAGTTTTTCACATTTCCTTAATCTCTCTAATCAATTATTTTTCGTCTTTATCTTTTTCTAAATATTTTACATAAATCTTAGTAGTAACTAATATTATTTTATTTATAATTTATATTTATTAGATTTTATTATGTCATATTTTTTGAATCATATTATTCTTATTTGTCATATATCAAATTTTATCTTAATAAAATAATTATATTTTAAAGGATTAAAAAGAATTAATAATTTAAACTTTTATTACTTCAAATTAATTAAATAAGAATTAAATTATTAAATATTTTCTTATAAATTATATATTTCATATTTTAAAATAACTAACTTAAAAATAAATTAACTTATATTTGATTGTAATCAAATGTTTGAATTTATTATTATAATAATAATAATAATAATAATAATAATAATAATAATAATAATATAAGTATTCAAATGTTTGAATATAGTGTTATAATAATAATATTATTATTATTATTATTATAAATATTCTATATATATAAATAAAAAATGATTAAATATTTCTTTTATATACATATTTTAATATAAATATTTCTTTTATAAATATTTATTTATATATAAAATATACATAGTAAAATTAATTTATTATAAATATAATTATCTTTTTAAAAATAATATAGATCGGGGACGGGACGGAGCGGGAAAATCCAAAACCCAAATGGAAATAAAAATTTAATTTTTAACTTCGACGGAGATCGGGGACGGAGGCGGGACAAAGACGGTTAAGAAAGTCGGAGACGGGGATTGAGGAGGCAAAACCCGCCCTATTTGCATGCTGCATGCGCGTAATACAATAAAAAAAATATATAAGATAATAGTGAAATTTGTAGGTCTAAAATAATTTATCTTCCTAAACCATAAGCCATCATGAATTATTATTGATAATATCACATGATTAAAATAATGTTATTTACTATTACTTTATATATTAGAATATAAGTTGTTTTATTTAGTTAAGAAAAAATGTTTATTCATTAAGGCTTGAGTTAAGGACCAACGTCATCAAGTTGAGTAATAATAATGACACTTACGTGACATTCCAAGCACTCATGATATGCTACACAATTAATGGAGTTTGATAATATATCTTGAATATCTTTCTTTGTCATCTTGACCTAATTCACCTTATAATTATTGCTTGAGTAATAATAATGACACTTACGTGACATTCCAAGCACTCATGATATGCTACACAATTAATGGAGTTTGATAATATATCTTGAATATCTTTCTTTGTCATCTTGACCTAATTCACCTTATAATTATTGCTTCAGTCACTTATAATAGGTAACAAAACTAACTTTCGAAATTCTTATATTTTTTAAGAAAATACTATTTAAACTGTATTAAAAAGTTTTCACACATTTTAAAAAACATTCGTAATAAATTATTCTAAAATGAAGATTTCAAAATTTATAATATAAAATAAATTTTTAATTATTTATTAAAACAACATAGGTAGTCTAACCCCACAAGTCTGAGTGTTGTTCTATCACGTTAATGCCCCCATTTGGGTCACAAGTTGGTGTGACTCAGTTCAGCATTCTAATAGTCTTGTGAGTATAGTTATAAACTTGTTTCATTCTCTTTTGGATATGAGACACAAGTATGAAAAACTTTGTAGTATAACACTAACAATAAGGTCTTTGACAGAGTTGGTGCATCTCTATACCTTTCCCCCTAAATCTCTGTGCAGCTACTCATTAAAAAGTATAAAAAGAATATCAGAAGCATCCTCCAACAATTTGTAAAGGTGAGCTACTCAAACTAACTTTGGTTTTGGTCTTCATCTTGTGTGTATATTATTACTCGTTTTTTACTCTTGGATGTTATATACACATGTGTTAGTGCTCCTTATCCTACTTCCTTTGATTTTATTTGATTTTTGCAACATTTCCACTGTTATACGTTGTTCATAAGACCTTCTTGCTTTTGTATAGAACAATCAAACCTTGTTGGGTTCAATATATTTAGGTTTCAGGGAGTTCGGAGAATCGAATGAGAAAGATCAATTGATGTTACTCACAAAACAAAGTCAATGCTAGGGATGTGTACAAAGAAATATCAGACAATGTTATAAAGTTTGCTTTCATAAGCTGTAATTTTATGTCTGGAACCATGGTTCTCTTTTCCAATTTAATGCTCTGAGAGATGTATTAACCGAAAATATATATATATATATATATATATATATATATATATATATATATATATATATATATATTGTTTGATTAACCGAAAATAGCTATATAAGAGATAAGCATAGTGTGTTTCGAAAGGATTTATTGGACAGAAATAATACCAATAAAATAATAATTCAACCTAAAATTTTAAAGCATTAAATTATAAGATTTTTTTTATATATTATCCAACTTTCTCATTCTTATTGATAATATTAACTTTATTTCTATTTTAATCATATTTTCTCCTATAATAATATATATTACATAATATTATCATAATATCCATGAATTTTATTATTTTAACTAATTGAGAAATAATTTACAAATTTAAAAAATCTGACGAATGAACTTTCCATCTCCAATAAAAACTATTTTAGTCCCCCAATTAGATAAATTCCTAATTTTTACTGGGGACTTCAATTCTTACATAAACTTCTTAATTTGACAATTCAAAATTGGGAGATAGTTTTTTTTTTTTTTACTAATAAATCGATACTAAAAAGTTATAGCATTTCTCACTCTTTTTCTCTGTCAAAACAACGATTTCAAAATTTTTATATAGCCCATGAGAAGTCCTTCCAAAACCTATAGAATAATTTTTATGAATTTCATAATTTTACTAATTCAAATTAAATAACAAGCTAATAAATCTCCTTCTTTAACTTATTTCCAACATCAACAGTGTGCTATCCCTTATGTTAATTTGCAGTAGCATGGTTGGCATGGCTTTACCACTTGTTGATAAGGTTTTATTTAATGAAATATTCCATTTAGTATTTTTTTATTGATTTTTTAGGATATTAAATTGAAAGCACTCTCAAATGAAAATAAAACAACAGAAAAGAAATATGATGAAAAGAGTGATTTTATTTCATGGAATGGATGATGGCCCCTAACAAGGGTAATTACATATGCAATCCTCAATAGCATTGCACATTCCACTTGCTGAGTTTCCATGTTTCTTCCGACAATCGCTGTTGCATTTCCCTTCTTGACAATCCTCATTCAACTTTTCTTCACACCTTCTTGCTTCTACCGCTTTCAGTCCCCCTTCATTTTCTGTTACACAAACACAATAAACCATCAATTAAACACATTTCAAACAAAAATGATTTCAAAAGATTATTATATATGCATGCTTAACTAGTGACTAGGTTGAACAAGTGGAAACAAAAACATACCAATAATATCGATGGAAAGAACGAGCAGAACAATCAAAACTGAAGTGATAAGCTTCATCTTAAATTGGTGATTGCTCACTCTTTTTCAATTTCTCCAAACAATTCTTTCTAATGGGTTCATATACGAGTATACCCAAACATATATATATATATATATATATATATATATATATATATATATATATATATATATATATATATATACCACTATATGGAGGTATCAAGGATTTATTGTTTCTTGAATATTTTTATTAACTTATAACAACACATTTAAAATTATATTCTTTCATTTTCCGTTATCTTTATGGTAAGGGATACTTTTATTTAATATTTAATGTGCGTAATAAATTAATAATATTTCATCTGTTTTTAAATAAACATTCATTTTTATCATTTTATTTATTTATTTTTAGGAAAATTAATATTAACTTAGAAAAAAAATCATTTTTTTCTTAAAAATATTGTATAGAAATTTTTTTAACATATTAATAATTAGTAACTCCTATCTATTACATGAATATTTTAAACGAAATAAAAATGTAATTATATAATTGAAATGTTTCATTATTATTGAATGTGAAATTATACGGTTATTTTATGGTTTTATTTTGTTGTTGTTGTCGGTTTCTTTTGCATAGGAAATAGTAGTTGAATGAAACTCCCTAACTCTCCTGATTCTCAGCGCTCAGTTTTGTTGACTCAAATAAAGAAGCTTTCCCTACAATTATTACATTCTTTAAAAATAAGGTTATGTTTTCATTATTTACTTTTTATTTTAAATTTACAATTATTAATCAACATAGCTAAATGAGTACACTAAAAATAAAGGGTTAAGTTTTTTTCTTCTTAAATTCATATTTAATTCTTATACAATTTGTTTACTTGTGAGCTGTGTTAAAAATAGTTATTGTTCTTTAATATAAATTAATATATTTTTATATAATTAATTACTTAAAACTTGTTTATCTAAGTAATTTTCTTTTAATTTTAAATAATTTTTTTTGTTTTAAATAACTTAGATGTGTGATTTATAATAAAATATTCATTTTTATTTTTAATCAATTATTGGTAGCAATCCTATTGAAGATACTATTAAAGATACTATTATTATCTATATGATTATTAGGAAGTATTACATGAAACTATGATACTATTGATATATAATGAACAGGGTCAATTTTTAATAAATAACTCAAATAAATATTTCTATCTATAAATTTGTTACCCTTATATTAAAAAAATATACACTGTAAAAGAAATTTGCATCTCTTAATACGTTATAAACGATTAATTTTTTTGAAATGTTGTAACAAATTTTCGCTTGAAGTGAGATAATTGATTTGGTCTTATTTTGTACAGTTTCAAAATGAGATTTAATATCTTTATATTTTATAAATTTTTTAATTTATTTATATTTTTCCTTATCTCTTATCAACAACATAAATAAAATGCGTTATATTTTTCAATAAATTATTTTATTATATTTTAAAATTAAATCATCATTTATAAATATATGAAAAATATTTTTATAAAAAATAATACACTTGCCAAAAAAATGAATAAAAATATAATATTGTAGTACCAACATACGCGTAATAAATTATTATTTTTTAAGTAAACAAAAAGTTTTGAAATAAGATCATATCATTAGATTGAAGAATGAATTTAACAGGGATATTTACGTCAACTTTTTTATGGTTTTGATTTTATTTAATTTAATAAAATTTAAATCAATATTTATGATTTTATTTAGATTAATTATCATAACTTTGATAAACACAAATATATTAAAAATAAAATACAATTATATTTTAAACCCAACCATCAACTTATACAATATGTATATTTATTAAAAAGTATCTTGTTCAGTGGTCAATTATAAGAAAAAAGTTATATTATTACTGTTAAACAAGGTATTTGGGAAATATATGATTCTATTAGAGGTGTTGTTCATGTTGTATCTATGAGTTTCAACAAGTTAATTCCATTAAAGATTGAAACGGTTAAATCTAGCTTGGTAGTTGAAATCAAGTACTTACCATAGTTTCAACAAGTTAATTCCATTAAAGATTGAAACGGTTAAATCTAGCTTGGTAGTTGAAATCAAGTACTTACCATAGTTATGACATTTTTGTTGTGGTTATTTAAGTTTTGGAGGATTAAAACTTCATAATTAGAAGAACATGATTACAGGACTCCTTCAAATGCAAGATCTTTCTCAAGTACGTGAGGATTGTGTCATTTCCTTATCATTTCTAATTGAATTGTAAATTTTAAATAAAAAATAACCTTATTTTTTAAGAATGTAATAATTGTATGTGAAACTTTTTTATTTGAGTCAACAAAAATGAAAGCTGAGAAGGAGGAGAGTAAAGGAGTTTCATTCAACTACTATTTCCTATGCAAAAGAAACCGACAATAACAACAAAATAAAACAATAAAATAACATAGTATAATTTCACTATTAATAATAATCAAACTTTTCAATTATATAATTACATTTTTATTTTGTTTAAAGTATTCATGTAAGAGACAGGAGTTAGTAATTATTACTGTTTAGAGAATATATTAAAATAAACTTCTACAAAATATTTTTGAAGAGAACAAATGATTTTTTTCTAAGTTAATATTAATTTTCCTAAAAATAATTTTAAAAATGATAAAAATGAATGTTTATTTTAATTAAGATAGTCTAAATTTAAACAGACACATTTAGAAACAGATGAAATATTATTATTTTATTACGCACATTAAATATTAAATAAAAGTGTCCCTCACCATAAGATAACGGAAAACTAAAGAATATATTCTTAAAAGTTAATAAAAGTATTCAAGCAACATTGAATGCTTATACCTCCATGTAGTGGTATATATATGTTAGGGTATACCTTCATATACCAACCCATCAGAAGAGTTGTGTTGGAGAAATTGAAAAAGAGTAACCAATTTAAGATGAAGCTCATCACTCCAGTTTTGATTGTTCTGCTCGTTCTTTCCATCGATATTATTGGTATGTTTTTGTTTCCACTTCTTCAACCTACTCACTAGTTAAGCATGCATATATAATAATCTTTTGAAATCATTTTTGTTTGAAATGTGTTTAATTGATGGTTTATTGTGTTTGTGTAACAGAAAATGAAGGGGGATTGAAAGCGGTAGAAGCAAGAAGGTGTGAAGAAAAGTTGAATGAGGATTGTCAAGAAGGGAAATGCAACAGCGATTGTCGGAGGAAACATGGAAACTTAGCAAGTGGAATGTGCAATGCCATAGAGGATTGCATATGTAATTACCCTTGTTAGGGGGCAATCATCCATTCCAAAAAATAAAATCACTCTTTTCATCATATTTCTTTTCTGTTGTTTTATTTTTTTTTCATTTAAGAGTGCTTTCAATTTAATATCCTAAAGAAATCAAGGAAAAATACTAAATGGAATATTTCATTAAATAAAACCTTATCAACAAGTGGCAAAGCCATGTCTGCAATGCAACGGCAAGTTAACATAAGGAGAACACACTATTGATGATGTTGGGAATAAGTTGTATAAGAAGAATTTGTGTTCTCAGTACATTTCATTTAAATCTTTTAAAAAATAAATGTTATATTTTATTTGTCAATATTTGACAGAGATTTTTGTCAAATCATAATTACAAGAGGCCTCAAAAACACTAATTTTTTTCTAAAGAATTTTTAAATCAGTAAAATTTTGGATTATGTTTCTTTCACCTTATTTGATGGAATGTATTCTTGTTGAGGGTCAAGATCCTAAAATAATCTCCATTAGAGAATTTTTTTTTAATTAATCCTAAATATTTTTAGCATTATCCACCTATATCACATTCTCAACAATTTGAGAGGATAAACTCTTAATAATTAATGAAAAAATCATCATATTTGATCTTTCATATGCATCATACATAGGATCATTTTTTTAGGAGTCTTTATGCTTTCATCATGAAATTATCTTAAATTGGGTTCCAAAACCCCTAAAAACAAAAAACCTAAAACCTAAATTACTGCATAATAACATATTAACAAAATAATCATATATAATCTGATTTTGCACCTTCTTTAAAGTGATACAAAGGTTAAAAAAAGAAAAAAAAAAATGAAGCAAAACTATATCTTAGTCATTTGACATCATAAACTAGTAAACAGTTAAAATATCAGTACTGTGTGGATAACAGGCAAAATCTAACTGGATCATCATTCCAAGTTGAGAGTTGAGTTTGGGGACTTTAGTGAAAACATAGGCCTCTTGGCTCTTAGAGTGGAGGGCATAATCTCTTAATCTTTCATGTCCTTACTATCTGCCCTCTTGAATAATGTAGTCTGATTTACAGTGTTATTGCAGACCTGGCTTTGCCACTTATTGAAAAGGTTTTATTTAATGAAATATTCCATTTAGTATTTTTCCTTCACTTTTTTAGGATATTAAACTGAAAGCACTCTTAAATGAAAAAAATAAAACAACAGAAAAGAAATATGATAAAAAAATGATAATATATACATATATATATATATACATATATATATATATATATATATAAATTATTAATTCTATTAAAAAATATTATTTTGTCTAATTATGCTTGATAATTATTAATTAATAATATTTATATTGCAGCTATTTTTAAGAAAGACGGGAGTGATACGGTATAGAGAAAGAGAGATGAGATCACGTATAATGCAAAACAAAATCATATCAAAATAATATATAAAACATATTTTCAACCTTATTATTTTATCTTATATTTAAAAAATTTAATTTAATTTTTAACAGCTACTAAAGATATAATGCTTCTTTGTCATAATTAACTGAATAACACATGATTATATACTCTTTGAGTTATATTTAGTCATTTGAATAATCAAGATCAAACCTCTAACGTATTTATTTTTTTAATAAAAATATATATTTTTTAGCACAAATTTAAAAGTAAATTAAATGTTATAGGTATAACTTAATAAGAATGGTCCGTGTGTAAAAATAAAATAAATAATAATATAAATAAATAAAATTAAAATAAAGATAATAAGAATATAATTATAAAAAAAATCAATATATAATTGAAAATAAGTTTAAGTAATATAAACACAAATAAAAATAAAAACATGAACAATCATAATGAATAATCATAATTAAAAATAAATGAATATATTTTTAATAATTAATTTTTATATAAATTAAATAAATAGACCTTTTATTATTTATAGAATATATAAATATACAACTCTTATGTTAGTATAACAAAGTAGTCAATTCGTTTTATATTTATAGAATATATAAATATACAACTAATTGAGAAATAATTTAAAAAAAAAACCTGGAGGACGAATTTTTCATATATCCAAGAAAAATAATTTTGATCTCCGCTTAGATAAATTCCTAATTCTCAAATGGGCTTCAATTCTTACATAAACTTGTTGACAATTCAAAATTCGGAGATATTTTTTTTACTAATAAATCGATACTAAAAATCATACAATTCTGATTCTTTTTTTCTCTATCAAAACAATGAATTTCTAAATTTTTATATAGTCCTTCTAAAATTTGTTGAATAATTTTTATGGATTCCACCAATTGAAACTAAATAACAAATTAATAATTGCTATTTTTTCTTCGTAATAAATATAATAAAAAATATAAAGATAACTGATGCAATCTTAAAAAAATTACTTCTTTCTCTTCCACTACGTTATATCTATGTTCTTTTCTCACTCATTATATCATATTACACTTTTTTTTCTCTCCTCTGCTAATTTTTTAAATATATAACTGTCTTCCTTTATTATTTATCATTTTTTATAAATCATAATACACTGCATATATTACAATTTTTTCTTTCATTTATAGCACTAAAAATCATTATGAAAAACGAAAATCTCATTTATATATAGTATATATAGTCATATTTAAATTTTTTTTTCTTTAAACATTTTGAAGAAAAAAATAAAATTATTTTTTCATAAATTTAAATTAACTTATAAATAACTTTAAAAAGTTATATAAAAGTACTTCACAAATTAGATTATAGGAAAATTAATATTAACTTAGAAAAAAAATCATTTTTTCTCTTCAAAAATATTTTGTAGAAATTTTTATCAATATATTCCCTAAACAGTAATAATTAGTAGCTCCTGTCTGTTACATGAATATTGTAAACGAAATAACAATGTAATTATATAATTGAAAATTTTCATTATTTTTAATAGTGAAATTATACTATGTTATATTTTATTGTTTTATTTTGTTGTTATTGTCGGTTTCTTTTGCATAGGAAATAGTAAGTGAATGAAACTCCTTTACTCTCCTTATTCTCAGCTTTCATTTTTGTTGACTCAAATAAAGAAGCTTCTTCACCTACAATTATTACATTCTTTAAAAATAAGGTTATTTTTTATTTTAAACTTACAATTCAACTACAAATTATTAGGAAATGAAACAGTTAACTAGACATGACAAGGGACGCTTTGTGATATTGTCCTTAACTTTTTTAATGGTATTTTTCTTTGTCCTTGTTTCCATTAAGATTTAAAATTATGTTTCTATTCTTATTTTTGTTGGATTTCTGGTTTTTATACCTTCCACCCTCATTTTATATTATTTTTAAAAAAATTATTATATTTATAAAAAATTAATTTTAATATTTTATGTATTTATATATATATATATACATATATATATATATAAATAAATATTTATAATTTTAAATTATTATTATTAATTAAATATATATTTTATTATTATTAATTAAAACTAAAAGAGAATATTAAATAAAACACCAACTAAGAAATTACATATTTTAAGAATTGTTTAGTTGAAAGATATAATTATTAAAAGAAAAATGCGGATTTTCTTATTCATAAATGATAACTTGTCGCATAACTTGCCCAATAAAAAAGCTATTACATAATAATCAAATAAGGACAATAGTCATTACATGTGCACTTAATTAATTACACATAATTTAAAACGTAAAATTTTATCATTAATTAGGAAAAATGAGAAGACTAATTTTCTTAATAATCTCTCCCTTAAACTGAAACATTGCAAATTTTAGTTTAATTCCTAATACAAATACCTATTAATTTTCTTAAATTACAGAAGGAAGAAATCTTGAGGGACTTTGTACATATATTTGCAATATGTTCTTCACTTTTGCAATATTGTAGATCAATAGCATCATTATTCCTACATCTCCTCAAAAAGTAATACTTCACATTTGTTTCTCCCATGTAACATCAAATTTTTGGACAATTTAATAATTGAATTATTATTATAAAATATTGTGGCCTCATTGTTTGAAATTTATTTTTTCAAGAATTCTTCTTCAAATGACTTGACATACACATGCTCTAGCATCAACAAATTTATCATTAGTGTTTGAGAAAGTAACAATATGTTATTTTTTAGATTATTCTTAAGTGGTAAAAGGTTGATATAATTATGTCTTGAATTGTTATAAAATCACTTAACTTATGTTAATTCTAATATATTTTCTCTCAATATAGAATGAATTTGAAAATACCTTGATACAAGAGTAATGAGCATAATTGTCAGCATAATTGGAGTAAAATTGAAAGAAAGAAAAGCGCTTAAGCGAATGAATGATGCAAAGTCTGGTCCAAATTCTCTTATAAAAAGATAAGTTGTGAGAAAAACAAGCAGTCTTGGAGGAGAGGAGGCACGACTACTGTTAAGGTTTTGTCTAATCTTCATCAATTTTCCACTTCTTCATCAATTAGAGCATTGTAATGGCCAACATGAGTAACTAACTTCATTCTCTTAGGATTTGGTGCACTTCCTTTGAACTCTTTTGTATCATGGTGATATTTTGAGATCTTAATCTATGCTTTGATGTTGTTATTCTTATCCTTTATGCTTTGGAATGATTTATTCTTGATTGTTTGAGGTATGATTGGAAAATATATCTTGAACCCTAGATCACGGTAAGAATATTTGTTACGTTAATTGTCAAGAATGGAATGAATGTATCAATTGCTTAAACACCCTAACCCTAATGCTGGAAAATCTGTTAATTGTGTGAGGAATCAACATTTATTAGGTTTTCTTATGAATTTCATGTGTGAGGAATCAACATGGATGATTTGAGTAGGTAGCATCAACATTGTTAGGTTAAATGACATTCTTAATTGACATAGTCATTACAAAAGAGAGATAAGGAAAGAAGTCAATCTGAAATACCTTTAATTGATATTTTCTCAACAATTTACAATTCTTTGTCATTTAATTTCAATTCAACTCTTATTTGCAAAACTCAATCTGTTTTAATCTATTTAGTAAGCATAATTAAGAATTTTCATTGAAACTATTCCTCGTGAGATCGACTTTTATTTAATCGAAATACTATACTGCGATTGATAATTTTGGTACGCTTGTCAATAATTCAACCATGATCATAAAAGAACACTTGTTCCCAACATGAACTATAACTAGAGATATTTCTTACATCATTTGGATCACTTAGATAATCACTATCACTAAATCCCAATAAATTTGATTTTTGATCTCTTTTATAAAACAATCCAAAATCTTTAATTCCTTAAAAATAACAAAGAATTTTCTTTGTAACGAACAAGTGCAATCCTGTAGGATTCTCTATTTATATATATTGATCATACTTACAAAAAGTATTATGTCTGGATGTAGTGTAGTTAAATACATTAAATTGTCTATAATTTGTTTATAAAGTGTGTAATATTTATGAATCTTTGAACCGTGATCTACTGGAGAGTTTGCCATGTTAAAATCTTTCATTTGAAATCTATTTAAACATCTCTCACATATTTCTTTTGATAGATATTGATTCCATCAACTTGGGCCCTCTCTTTATCACCCCTTCCCAACGAACCCATGACGGACGCCTCACCATCGTGATCGTTAGAAGTTGAAGAGGCATAAGTTGAAGTATCCACACTATCCCCACTACATCAATCCGCTTCCCATACTTTGCATACGAATCCATCCCGAAGCTCCTCGGTTATAGAAGAAGACAACGTCGACATACCTTACCGATATTGCAGAAGTCAACAAAACACACTAGGTACATTAGAAGACATTTACAGAATAACACTTTTTTAGAAGAGTTTGCAAGATGTCAAAAAGAACATGAATTCTCATTACTAACGACTGAACTTTTCACAAAATACATTTTTTTTTCTCTAAATTTCAAAATAGAAAGAATAAAAATTCTTCTATATATGAAGTCGATACCACTGCCACTTCACTGTTGTATCTTGAATGCTCAGTGGGAGCATATTCTATATCTTGCTCTTCTGTCTATATTAACAAAATCTTAATAACTAGTCAGTTTTGTATGATGTAAATCTTCCATTCTCTACACTTGTTCTCATGCATGCATAAATGTTGTTCTTTCTCATCATATACATTGAGAAATCTCAGAAAACTGGATTTGGTTATTTTCATTTCTCTTGTAATCTTTTTTAACAAAAATCTGGAATAAGTGGAATGACATTGTTAGAAGAAAACTAGCATGAATACTTAAAAAAATAGATTTAAACATGTTTCTGCGACTAATTATTTTAAGCCATTCAAAACAAACTTAAAATAATAAGGAAAATAAAATAGCTAATAATATATTCAAGTAGAGTATTATTTCATACAAAATGTTTGAAATTTGCCCATCAGTTTCAGATTTGATCAATAATACATAAATGCAATTTCTGATTCAATTTTAAAATTATTCTAACTTAATTCAAAAAGTCGCACATTTTTTCAGAAACCTGAGAAACAACTGGATATAAGAATATAAAAATTGGACTCTTTATCTAAATAAATCATACCTTTCTCGGCTTTTTGGCTAAGATGTATCTGTTCTTATCAGTATAATATCTTATATATAAACCAATGGTTTATGTGATATTAAATTAATTTTTTTAGGGAGAGACTCATTTTCAATAGCTTGTTATTGGACTATCAACATCACTCTTGTCTTGCACTACGGCAAGAGCTTGGTGTATCCCTCAAAATAGTTGAATTTGAATTATTAGTTTACCTATTTTAGGTTTTTATGCATATCTAAACCATTTCTTTGATGTGGTTTCCATCCATTACATGGTGTTTTTTTGCATCTCCTTTAAAGGTAAAAACATAAGTAAAATTATAGCTTTGTCACTTGATAGGACGAAATGTGTAGAGCACCTACTTTTTTAGAATCATAAAATCCAATTATATCATCATTTCAAATCTCGGGGAATGGTAGAGAGATGCACCAACTCTGAAGAGGTGTATATATGTCTTTCCTAAGTAGTTCAAGAGATATAGGGAGTTTTTTTGTGTAGATTTAGGTCTTGGCAATGGCTAGTTAGTGCTTCTGTAGAGTACAGTACTTAATATAAACTCTATTTCAGTCTGTTATCAATATTTCATCATGAAAATAAAGGGATGTTGGAAATACAAAATAGACCAAATGTTAAGCAACAAAATTGAGTTATATAATTTTTTTTATATATGTTTAGAGACCTACTATAAACATAATGATGTTGGAATATAACTACACATGCAGAGAAGTGTTTTATTTAAGTGTCAGAATGTGACCGCTCGGATAGTACGATGTCATGCATCATAGCTTTTATTTAACGTAGAAGAGTGCATGATGACTTATGAGTGATTTGGGCATACACCATTATGCACATAAAACATGACGTTACATATATGCTATACAGGCATAGCCAAGAAACCTTTCAGTGGTTCAGTGTTGGAGTGAGAGCACCAGCCAAAAGGCACATTTGGATAAAGAGAACGAGTACAGAAGTTGCCACTGCCTTTCTTCACACAATCATGATGAGACACACATAGCTGGGAATATTCATCAAGCCTCTTCGCAATGGACTCAACTGCTGTATCAGGTAAGCAGATACCAGCAATTACTGCAACAGGAACACAGCTACATACGCTCGAGCCACATGGTTGCGTGTCAATCGTTAAACAAAAATCCAAACAACCTGCTTCTATGCTCTTCATTGATAACACTGAAAATGCTATATGCAAAATTTATAACAAAACCACCTGAATATGTTAATTTTTTTTTCATAGTTTTGAGATATGAGATATGAAATTAGAAATGATGAAAAAGAAAATGAATGAAAAAGTGCATACAGGAAGTAGCAAGGAAGAAGAGAGCGAGAGGAGCAAGCCTAACAAAAGCCATTCTTGTGATTTGATTTTGTTTTGAATTTTGGTCTGTTAATTACTTGTTGCATGCACCAATTTATAGGCACTGACAATGGTATAAGTTTTTCTTCAACAACAGATAATATAACCTTTTTTTATTGTTAAATTCTTTGCCAGCGAATCTCTTGTACCATAATAAAATAGGGAAAAGGATGTTTGGACAATTCCTCCTACAAACACAATCATCCAACGATTCTATATATTAATATAATTGTAAATTTTTATATTTATTCTTATTATAGAGTGGAAGGATGTACTCTATACATGATGAGTAGAGATTGCATATGGCAGGTGAACATGGTGTGTGTCCATAAACTCTTCTCTTTTACTGGTTGACAATGGTGTGTCAATAACCTTTTCTTTTCCTTTTTCATAATGGTATGTCAATAATAACTGCTCTATTCATGCTATCTGGGTATTCATGTCTATCCTCAGTTCAATACCAACAACGTTTCGTAAATTAATTATTTAAAGGATACTAATAATTTAGTTCTAAAGATATGAAAGAAATAAGTAAAAGATATATCAAAGAAAAAAAATAAAACAAGTTAGTATTATTTAAAAAAAAATCAAAATAAATATATATTTTTAATGGAGATGAAGGATGTAAAGAACAAAGAAGAGATTTCAAAGGTAATAAAGATCAATTTTAGAACAAAATGGGAAAACTTACATTTTGTTAAAAAGGTGAAAAGAAGAAAAAACTTTGTTAATGACTATCTGTGAAAACAAAATGTAATTGAAATTTTGGTATGTTGATACACAGAGTAATCACATGAATGATTGTAATCTATTTTTTATATTTAAATGAGATTTTTATTTTACCGTTATTTTTGGATATTTCTCTTTTATAAAAATGAGAGGTAAAGATGATATTAAAATTAAAACCAAGATTGATTTTGTGGAAATAATATATAATGTAATACCTTATATGTAAAGTAACTTATTTAGCATAGGTTAATTATAAGAAAAAAGTTATAATATTACTAATAAAAGAGGTATTTGTGAAATATATTCCATTAGAGGTGTTATTCTTGTTGTACATATGAGTTTCAACAAGTTATTTCTAATGAAGATTGAAACTGTTAAGTCTAACTTGGTAGTCGAAATCAAAAACTCATCATGTTTATGACATATTCGTTATGGTCATTTGAGTTTTTTAGTATTAAAACTTCTCAGTTAGAAGAACATGATTAAGTGACTCCTTCAAATTTAATATCCTTATCAAGTGTGTGAAGATTGTATCGTTAGAAAATAATATCGTTTTCAATTTTCTAATAACAAGTCATGAAAAACAAAAAATGTGTTAAAATTGGTACACTTAGATATTTGCAGTCCAATAAATCCATCTTGTAATTGAAGCAAAAGTTATTTCATTACATTTACTAGTAGTTTTTTAAGGAAAACTTGGGTCTAGTTTTTACAATTATTTTCATTCAAGATTTTTAAAGCTCAAATTAAAAATGAGTTTGGGAAAACATTCAAACCCTTCACATTAATCTTGGTGATGAGTATTGTTCAACAAATTTTGGACATTTTTGTGCAAAGCATGATATACGAAGAGAGCTCATAACAGTCTATACATCATAACAAAACGGTGTATTTAGAATGAAGAATAAGATCATTTTAAATACGGTGAGGAGCTTATTAACTCAAGGGAAAGTTCCAAAAGAAGTTTTGACGTTAAGCATTAAATTGGAGTGTTCATATTTTGAATAGAAGTCCAACGTTTAATATTCAAAATATGACATTAGAAGAAGCATGGAGTGGGAGATTACCAGACGTGGAGCACTTCAAAATATTTGGATGCATTACCTTTTGTCCCTGTTCCGGATCAAAAAAGAAAGAAACTTGATGACAAATTTGAAAACTGTATATTTTTTTAGGGAAACTGAAATGTCTAAAGCATATAATTATTTAATCCTTATGTAGAAAAGATTGTCACTATTAGGGATGTTGTTCTTAATGAAAAAAAAATTTGGGATTGAAATATGTAGTAGCCTACCCAATTATTACTAGATCAAAATGATGAGAAAGAACACATATCAGTCTCTTCTACATTAGAAATAACTGCTTCAACAATCACTAAAACTTCTTTTACAAAGCATGACAATGAAGATTAATTATTTCCTTGCATAGGAAAATGACCCGCTTGGATGGATGATTATGTAACTAAACTTCCCTATCCAATTATGTATTTTGCTTCATTTGTATTTTGGGATCCTATAACATACGAAAATATACTATCAAGGAAGAGAAATAACTAACGGCGATAAATGATGAAATTGATATCACTGAAAGAAATGAATAATACATGGTAATTGTGCGATAATCTTAAAAAGTGTAACATCATTGGTGTAAAACGGGTATTTAAGGCAAAGGTGAAAGAAGACGGTAAAGTTGAAATAAACTTCCCGAATATGGTATAGCTGCATCGAATCTCATTTTCTTAAAGATGGATTCACAAAATATCCTTTTGAACACACACTTTTTGAGCAAATTTGAGATAAAGGTAAATTGTTTATGGTTTACTTATATGCTAATAATCTTATTTTTACCTGAATTTGCACTTTCAAGTTTGATAACTTTAAGAAATCTATGATGGATGATTTTGAAACGAGTGATCTTACCTTGATCCGTTGCTCTTTTTTTTTGGTAAAAACTTAATTCAATTAGTTGATGGAATCAATATCAAAATAAATGTGAGATGCTTTGAATATATTTCAAATGAAGGATTTTAAAATGTTAAACACTCTAGAAGAACATAGTCTAAAGATTCGTAAAGATCATGAAGGAAAGACGATTCACAATACACTTTTTATAAACAAATTGTTAGCAATTTGATATATTTAACTACAACACAACCGGACATAATATTTTTTATAAGTTTTATAAGTAGATATATAGAGAATCATATAGAAATTCGTTATAATTTGTAAGAAACTAAAGATTTTGGTTATTTTATAAAATAGATGAAAAATCCAATTTATTAGGATTTACTCCAAAAGATTTTGGTTATTTTATAAAATGAATGAAAAATTCAATTTATTAGAATTTACTCCAAAAGTACGTCTAGTTATATATTCATGTTGGGAACCTATATTGTTTTATGGTCAACTAAACAATAATCTATTGTTATTTTATCAAACACGGTGAGGTTGAATTTGTTGTTGCTACAACTATGTCAAGTAATTTGAAGAAGAATTATTGAAAAATGAATTTCAAAAAATAAAGTGTAATTACAATATTCTATGATAATAAATAAGCTATTAAATTGTCCAAAAATATCAGTATTACATGGAGAAACAAACATATAAACGAGAAGAAGTATTACTTTTTAGTATTACTTTTTGAGGAAACGTTAACATCATTCATCTACGACATTGTAAAATTGGAAATATATTTATAAATCTTTCAATATTTCTTCGTCATGTAATTTAAGAAAATGAATAGGAATATATATATATATATATATATATATATATATATATATATTATGAATTAAATTAAAATCTCTACTGTTTCAGTTTAAATGAGTAATTATTAAAAAATTAATCTTTTTCATTTTTTTCCTAATTATTGATAAAATTTGAAGTTTCTAATTATATATAATAAAGTGGACGTCTACTGACTATTGTTCTTATTTCATTATTATATTTATTAGACTAGTTATCATTTATAAATTAAAAAAAATACAGTTTTCTTCTAATAATTATATCTTTCAACTAAGCAATTCTTAAAATATATAATTTCTTAGTTGGTGTTTTATTTAATATTCTCTTTTAGTTTTGACATCAAATTCCTATAATTTAGGAAAAATGTTAAGAAAATGGAATTGTTATAACTACTTTGTTACCAACCTAAGAGTTGTATATTTATATATTCTATAAATAATAAAAGTCTATTTATTTACTTTATATATAATTTAATTATTAAAAATATATTCATTTATTTTTATTATGATTATTCATTATGATTGTTTAAGTTCTTATTTTTATTTTATTTTTTATCTGTGTTTATATTACTTAACTTATTTTCAATTATATACTCTTTTTTTATAATTATATTCTTCATTATCTTTATTTTAATTTTATTTATTTATATTATTATTTATTTTATTTTTACATACGGGTTATTCTTATTAATTTATATCTATAACATTTAATTTATATTTACATTTGTGCTGAAAAATATATTTTTTTTATTGAAAAATAAATTCGTTAGAAGTTTGATCTTAATTATTCAAAGTGTTATTCGGTTAATTATGACAAAGAAACAGCATTTATGTTTAGTAGCTGTTAAAAATTAATTCAATTTTTTTAAATATAAAATAAAATAATAAGGTTGAAGATATGTTTTTTATATTTTTTTGATATGATTTTGTTTTCTTATCTCATCTCTCTTCTCCTGCCGTTATGACTCTCGTCTTTCTTAAAAATAGTTGGAATATAAATATTATTAATAATTATCAAGTATAATTAGACAAAATAATATTTAAAAAATAATATTTTTTAATATAATTAATAATTTATATATATATATATATATATATATATATATTTTTTTATCATATTTCTTCTCTGTTAGTTTTATTTTTTTTTTCATTTATAAGAGTGCTTTCAATTTAATATCCTAAAAAAATGAAGGGAAAATACTAAAGGGAATATTTCATCAAATAAAACCTTATCAACAAGTGGCAAAGCCATGTCTACAATGCAACTGCAGATCAGACTACATTATTCAAGAGGTAGATAGTAAGGGCACGAAGGATTAAGAGATTGATTGTGTTTTCTGTTTTTGTGGAAGCTGACTCCATTATTCAAGAGGGCAGACTAGCATCAAGAAAGAAGAAAAAGATGGCAGCGGAAGCTGAGTAGGTATTCAACTTACTCTGATACAATGAAAAGTGTGGTACGAGAATGAAGTTTTGTAATAACCCATGACAAAGAGTAGGATATACGCAATTAGAGAAGAAGAAGAGAAGAGAAAATACGTATGCATCTCATTCTATGCAACATTCAATATTCTCAACCACAATGAGAAGAGGAAAATTATCTTAAATTGGGTTCCAAAAAACCTAGATTACTGCATAAAGAGTAACAGATTAACAAAATAATCATATCTAATATGCATGATTTTGCACCTTCTTTAAAGTGATACAAAGGTTAAAAACTAAAATAAAATGAAGCAAAATTATATCTTAGTCATTTCACATCATAAACTAGTAAAGAGTTAAAATATCAGTATTGTGTGGATAACAGGCAAAATCTAACTGGATCATCATTTCAAATCTTGGAGAAAGGTAAAGAGATACACCAACTCTGTCAAAGTTCTTATTGTTAGTGATGCACTGTATAGTTTTTTCATACTTGCGTCCCATATCCAACAGAGAATGAAACAACCGTGTATTTATAACCATACTCACAAGTGTGCTCGTTTGCCGAGCTGAGTCACTCCAGCTTGTGACCCAAGTGGGGGCTCTATTGTGATGGAACAACACTGAGGTTTGGTGGGTGAGGTCGTGTTGGAATAAGTTTGCCTGCCCATTCCAAGTCGAGAGTTGAGTTTGGGGACTTTAGTGAAAACATAGGTTTCTTGTCCTCTTAGAGTGGAGGGTATAGCGTGAGGCTGGTTTCACAGAGCAGCGACAACCTCCCTCTCTTAACAGTGGAGGGATCACAGGCTACTGCAACACTCCCGATGGCCTGACGAGCCTAGCCTTGGACCATTACTTTTTTTGGTGACTTTCTCTTTTTCTATCTTCCGCCATTACCAAGAAAGGAAATAGGATAAAGAACACTAACACATGTGCATATACCATCCAAGAGTAAAAAATGAGTAATAATATACACCCAAGATGAAGACCAAAACCGAAGTTAGTTGGAGGATGCTTCTGAATAGCTCACCTTTACAAATTGTTGGAGGATGCTTCTGATATTCTTTTTTATTCGTTAATGAGTAGCTGCACAGAGAATAAGTTGTGTAACCCCCTGATTGAGTCATATCAGTTTCAGGTACATTAGAAGACATTTACCAGAATAAAACTTCTTTTAGAAGAATTTGCAAGATGTCAAGAAGAACATGAATTATCATTACTAACGACTGAACTTTTCCCAAAATACATTTTTTTTCTCTAAATTTCAAAACAGAAAGAATAAAAACTCTTCTATATATGAAGTCGATACCACTGCCACTTCACTGTTGTATCTTGAATGCTCAGTGGGAGCATATACTTCTTCTGTCTATATTAACAAAATCTTAATAACTAGTCAGTTTTGTATGATGTAAATCTTCCATTCTGTACACTTGTTCTCATGCATGCATAAATGTTGCTCTTTCTCATCATATACATTGAGAAATCTCAGAAAACTGGCTTTGTTGTTATTTTCATTTCTCTTGTAATCTTTTTTAACAAAAATCTGGAATAAGTGGAATGACATTGTTAGAAGAAAACTAGCATGAAATATTTTGTTGTAAGGAGATACTTAAAAAAATAGATTTAAACATGTTTCTGCGACTAATTATTTTGAGGCATTCAAAACAAACTTAAAATAATAAGGAAAATAAAATAGCTAATAATATATTCAAGTAGAGTATTATTTCATACAAAATGTTTGAAATTTGCCCAACAGTTTCAGATTTGATCAATAATACATAAATGCAATTTCTGATTTTATTTTAAAATTATTCTAACTTAATTCGAAAAGTCCCACATTTTTTCAGAAACCTGACAAACAACTGGATATAGGAATATAAAAATTGGACTCTTTATCTAAATAAATCATACCTTTCTCGGCCTTTTGGCTAAGATCAAGTGTAGTATCTGTTCTTATCAGTTTAATATCTGATATATAAACCAATAGTTTATGTGATATTAAATTAATTTTTTTAGGGAGAGAGTATTTTCAATAGCTTGCTATTGGACTATCAACATCACTCTTGTCTTGCACTACGGCAAGAGCTTGGTGTATCCCTCAAATTAGTTGAATTTGAATTATTAGTTTACCTATTTTAGGTTTTTATGCATATCTAAACCATTTCTCTGATGTGGTTAATGGTGTTTTTTTGTATCTCCTTTGAAGGTAAAAACATAAGTAAAATTATAGCTTTGTCCTTTGTCACTTGATAGGACGAAATGTGTAGAGCACCTATTTTTAGAATCATAAAATCTAATTATATCATCATTTGAAATCTCGGGGGAATGGTAGAGAGATGCACCAACTCTGAAGAGGTGTATATATGTCTTTCCTAAGTAGTTCAAGGGATATAGGGAGTTTTTTTTTGCGTATATTTAGGTCTTGGCAATGGTTAGTTAGTGCTTGTGTATAGTACAGTACTTAATATAAACTCTATTTCAGTGTGTTATCAATATTTCATCAAAGACCAAATGTCAAGCAAACAAATGAACTGAAATTAACAATGAAAATAGAGGGATCAAATTTTATTTTTTATATAAAAAAAAAAAAAAAAAACATAAACTTCAAGCATATGCTATGACCATCATAATATGTTTACTATGACTATATTTCCCCAGAGCAACTATTAAAATCAGGTTAGACTTTTGCGAGATTGGCTTATTGTGATCCTCAACATTTTCTTCAACGAGAAAATGTTTGACCAGTTCCTTCTTCTGCTACAACACTTCCCTCCACAACAGTTTCCAAGTCAACTTTTTCAACAGTTGCCTCACCTGAGTTTTCTGTGCACTCTGCTGAATGTTTATATCCCATAACGAATAGTTCAATACTTGGTTGGATGTTGAAATTATCCAAGTTTACTGTGAGAAATGTGTGCATAATTTAATAGAAAAGTTTAATAACGTACCATAACTGTAGTCCTAGGTCCAGATAAAGAAACTATTATCTGTAATAGTAACAGAATAACAATTAATTTGTGAGTAATAATACCAAATTAGTCCCCCCATTGAATCTTTTAATTAGAATATTTACATTTGATGTACGAGATTTTATTCATATTTTATTTTAACTGTTATGTAACATTGTAGATTGACGAAGAATTACTTAAAATAAAATAATTGATTTGATCAATAGAAGAATTTGAAGTTTTAAATATTTGATTAATATAAGAAGTCATAGTCGGATTATATTAATATTAATTTGGATTAATTCATGGTGAACAAAACACCTATTGAGTCTTGTTCCTTCTTATATGCACTACTCATGACACAGAAATTTTCTAGAATTTGATTAATTTATATGTGATGCCGGTAGAGCACATACACTTTACGTGTATGATAGAGGGTAATGTTGACTTCAAAATAGGAGAATATTTACATTTTACATACGAGGTTTCATTCATATTTTATTTTAACTATTATGTAATATTGTAGATAGATGAAGAATTACTTAAAATAAAATAATTGATTCGATCAAGAGGAAGAATTTGATGTTTAAAATATTTAGAAGTCATAGTCGGGTTACATTAACATTAATTTGGATTAATTCAGGGTGAACAAAACACCTAGATGAGTTTTGAGTCTTGTTTCTTCTTACATGCACTACTCATGACACAGGAACCTTCTAGAATTTGATTAATTTATATGTGATCGGTAGAGCACATACACTAGAAGAAATTATTTAGGTCTTCTTTATCTTAATAATTTAGCCAAATAGTTTATCCTTTCTTTAAATTACCCTTTGAACCTTAGTCTTTTCTTGGATTTAAATCCGAGAATTAAAATCTTTCCAACCCAGAAAATACTCACACTCAGACATAAAGGGAAGTAAGAAGCGTGAAATCATTACAAAAATTGAGTTATACTCGCTACCAATAATTCCAAAAAAAGGAGAAGTGTCAAAGTATCAGAAAAAAAAAATTATTTTGTTCATGTATCCAAGTAATAAAGGAGCTCAGAAGGCACTCCAATATAAATATGACAAAAATAAAAGATGCAACTGAAACAAAACTTCAACGTATATTGATCCATGTTCTTTATTTTTCCTAAGGGTTTAGCCCACTTTCCTTTCTTAACCTACCCTAACCTTAACCCTAACCCCATTACAAGACAAGAAAAAGTCATGTTGATATGCTGTGGTATGTATTCTAAAGGTGGAAATTTAGAGATCTTTCAAACCTATTGTAAAGGATGATGTCATTATATGATGATGAGTGGAATGTTTAGCTTAAACGCTTCAGAGTAGAATAAACACTTGATCATGATAGGACGTTCCCTTGAATTGATTCATTCTCGACCGTAATGATACTTTGTGTAAGTTATGATCTTGATCTTTTTTATTCTCCCACTCTTGATTAATGAAGTGTTATTTTTTTACTATTTTAGATTTGAAGATATGACTAACGTTTACAACAGTACTCATTTTTGTATTACATGCATGCATATTTTTTTTTCTTTCTTGTATCCTTTATTGGAAGTGCAAAAGAGAAAAGTGATGAGTATTTGATATATGTCATTTTACTCTTTATTTCATGATCTAAGATCATTTTTTAAGCTAATTATTTTTTTCATAAATCATGCATTTAACTGTTAAGTGGTAAAAAGTTGATATAATTATACTTTGAATTGTTATGAAATCACTTAACTTATGTTAATTCTAATCTATTTTTCTCCCAATGTAGGATGAATTCGAGAATACCTTGATACAAGAGTAAGGAGCATAATTGTCAACATAATTAGAGCAAAACTTAAAGGAGGAAGAAGATTTTCAGTATGAAAGTCGCTCGAGCGAGATAGACTTTTGCTTGAGCGAATATTAGTTAAAACTCTCTCGAAGTCAGTCGCTCAAGCGCTAGTAATTTCGCTTAAGTCACTACAAGAAAAAGCATTTTAGCGACCGAAAAAATTGGTCGCTAATGGTAAAAATCGATCGTTAATCGTTAGCGATCGAAATTAGCGACCGAAATGCGTCGTCGCAAAAAGCCCAGTCGCTAATGTGTTAGCGACCGATTTTCATTTCGGTCACAAAATAGCGACCGATTTTATTTCGGTCGCAAAATAGCGACCGAAATTAATATATCAAATTGGTCGCTAAATCGATGACAAAGTTAAAAAATAACCGATTTAAATCTGCTAAATCGATGACAAAGTTAAAAAAATAGCGACCGATTTAAATTGGTCGCTAAATCAATAACAAAATTAATTATTTTTATTTATTTACATTTTTAATTATATTGATTATTTATTTCCCTTACCTCTTTTTATATTATATTTTTGCTTATTTAAGTTTTTATGAATATTTTTTTAGATGTTTAACTTATTATTAAGTTTATTGTCTTTGTCAGGATTCGAACCCAGTACCTTAGAGTTGGAGGTCGAAACTCCAACCACTCGAGCTACTAGGATTTTTTAATAATAACTTACAAATAAATTATATTTATATACAAATAAATGTATATTTGTATAAATATATAAATATAAAATCTATAAATAAAAATATATTTATATATTTTAATATATATTTAAATATTAATACATTGATATATTTATATATTGATATATTTATATCTTTATATTTTTATATATATTTATATCTTTATATATTTATATCTTTATATTTTTACATATATTTATATCTTTCCATATTTATATATTTATATATAAAGATATAAAGATATTAGTTTTGTATACAAATAATATTATACTATTAGTATAGTATACAAATTATATATTAGTATAGTATAGTATACAAATTATTAGTTTTGTAATTTATACACTATAAAAATAAATTACAAATATTATAACATAATGGTATATTAATATAATATAATATATTTGTATTCTAATTTTTAATTAAACTAAAATTACGCTAATAATGTATAATAATATATGAGGGGATAATATTGATATATTGATATATATATATATATATATATATATATATATATTTTTATATATTTATATAATGATATATTTATATATTAATATATTTATATATTTATATTTTGATATATATATATATATATATATATTGATATATTTATATATTTATTTATATCCTTATACATTTATATCTTTATATATTTGAAAAAAAGATAAAAATTTAAATATTAAATTTTAAAAATAATATTATATTTTTAAAAATAAATATTAGAAAAAGATTTAAAAATATATATAAATTATATTTACATGTACAAAATATTAAAGATATATATTTATATCTTTACATATTTATATCTTTATATCTTTATATCTTTACATATATTTATATCTTTATATCTTTACATATATTTATATCTTTATATCTTTATATATTTACATCTTTATATATATATATATATATATATATATATATATATATATATATATATATATATATATATATATATATATATTATATCTTTATGTATTTATAAAATCTATAGATACAAATATATTTATATATTTTAATATATATTTAAATATTGATATATTCATATATTCATATATTTATATATTGATATATTTATATATTTATATATTTATATATTGATATATTTATATATTTACATATTTATATATTTATATATTTATATATTTATATATTTATATATTTATATATTTATATATTTATATATTTATATATTTATATATATTTATATATATTTATATATTTATATATATTTATATATTTATATACAAATATACCATTATATTATTTTCATTGTATATAAAGTACAAAACTAATAATTTTTAAAAAATTTAATGATAATTTTTTTAACTTATATATCACAAAATATTTTTAATACTTTAATAAATATAACTTTTTTAAATATTTTCATTAATTTAAAGTATAACTTTTAATATTTTTTAGTATTTTTTTAAATGTAGATATCTTTAATATTTTGGACATATAAATATAATTTATACATGTTTTTAAACCTTTTTCTAATATTTGTTTTTAAAAATATAACATCATTTTTAAAATTTTATAGATTTATTTCCAATCTATAATTTGAGTTTTTAAAAATGTTTATTTCTAATCTATAATTTGATAGAAATCACATAGAAATTTATTATATGTTATTTTGAATATTTTGAAAATTTAATTGATCATCATCAAAACTTACATTAACTATTTTTTTGAATATTATGTTTTTAAATTTGGTAATACAGAAAACGTTTCAGAAAGCAAAATGTTAAATACTTTTAAATATTAAAATTGACTTTATAAAAAATTAGGAAAAAAAATTAATCAAAAAGAGTTCAAAAATATATTATAATATTTTCAGTTTTAGTTTAATTATATTTTTCATTCTCAAAGTAGAAAAATATATTGTAATTATTTTAATTTAATAAAATATAATTTAAATTTTTAATACTAAAATTAAAATATTAAATAATAATAAATTTAATTCTTTAAATTTAGTATTTAGAAACTAAAATTATAGTTTCTCTGTTTTAAAAAATTAAAATAAATATTTAAAAATAAAAATCAAAACTATTATTATGTTAAATTTATTAAAAGTATAATTAAATCTCTATTTTCTTCAATTTTTCTTTTTTTAACTTCTCAATTCTGCATTTTTGTCAATTCCATCATTATATTATCATCCTCATCTCCTCCCATGTTCTACTTTATGTTTACAATAATTAATATTCTTAAATAATTTATATTTTTATTTATAATTTTTTAATATATATTTGAGAAATTAATCAATTATAATCTATTATTTGAAAAACTAATCAATTCTAATCAATTATTTAGAAAACTAATCGATTATAATTAATTATTTGAAAAAATTATCCAATATGATCTGGTTATTTGAAAATGTA